CACCAGGACTCTCTGAACATTATCGAACATCATTTCAACGAGGTAATTGAATATAGCATGAAATAAAAAGCAATAACTTATATTTATTTCTGATATAGATCCACGTCGAGTTGATACCAAAGAAGGTATTCAGTTAAATCTAGGTACTGGCAATGGTCCAATAGCTCCAACAGATGTATTTTGTAGTGTACCAGGTCGATTATCATTACTTAGTTCAAATTCGAAATATAAAGTATGTGTTGCTGAAGTTCAAAGACGTCTTTCACCACCTGAATGTCTTAATGCTTCGTTACTTGGAGGAATATTACGAAGGTATTTTCTTTTCTTATATATATACATAAATATATATGATTATTTATTTTAGAGCTAAATCAAAAAATGGTGGAAGAATGTTACGTGAGAAACTTGAAAAAATTGGTGTTAGTTTACCAGCTGGAAGACGTAAAGCAGCAACAGTTACGTTATTAACATCACTTGTTGAAGGTGAAGCTGCACATTTAGCACGTGATTTTCATTATGTATGTGATCAAGAATTTCCTGCTCGTCAATGTGCTGAATATAATAATCGTCAATATCATACAATACATTTACAAGAACCAGGCGGTATAACAAAACGTAAACAAAATATTCTTGCTGCCAAGTAAAGAAAAAATTTTTTTTTTTCATCTTTTAATAAATTCTTTTTCTCTAGACAATTAATAAAAGAATTTACTGATTTAATATCACATGATCGTTCACCATTAGGTACAAATAGTCGTTTAGCACCTGTACTTGATATATCAATTCAAAAACATTTAACCCATTTTTCATTAGTTACACATGGTTTTGGTACACCGGCTATAATTGGTGCAATGTCAGCATTACAAAATTATCTAACTGAAATGAATAAAACATTTGACAAAACCACAACAACAACATCGTCATCATCAAATGATACTAAAAAAGAGTTAGATCTTTTCAATACTAAAACTGCATAGATATTATCCTAATTAAACGTCAGAGAAAACAAAAATAAAGAACTATTATACATTCCAAATTCTTGTATTTGTGCGTGTTTTGCTTTATTTCTGCAGCTTAAAATAAAATAAAAAAATATGCAGAAAAAAAAAAGAATTTTTATTAACAATAGTGCGTACTACTCCGAGCTAAATGACAAATGGTTAAAGATGTGCTGAATATACATATATATATATATATATACGCCGTTTGTTTATGATAGAATAATGTACAATACCAGTAAAAGAATAGGCAAAAATAAACAAGATCAAAGTAAAAGACACAACGGGTGCATGCATCTGCATACACAACCTTAGGCATTCGATGGTGCCCTTCAGTTAAAAAGAACTGTATATACTTCAACTAGTAGTTGATAACTGTTGAATGATAATAATAGACGGTATTATTGGCTAAATGGAATTAGAAGTATTTTTTAAAGATATTCGAGATGAGATTAAAATCATATATAAACAAATTTCTTGTTGTTTTTTTTTGCCGAGAAAATAGCTTATTGTTTAACCAGCTGGATTGATAAGAAATATATATATGTTCAAATGAATGATATTAGTTTTTCAACAATAAAATTTTATAACTGAATCGTTTTTTCTTTGTTATTGTTAGGCACATTGTCTATTATATGTATTTAAAAATAGAAACATATAACAAAGGGATACGCCTACAAAAAAATCATAAATCCAATGACGTATATAGATTTTTTTCTCGTTCTATCGTATTCAAAAAAAATTGCCTATTCATTATCTTCTTGCTTATTTTTTGCATTTGTTTTATCGTTCGTTCCGGTGAATGCACACGTACACACGCATAATTTTATTGATGATAAACGTAAAAGAAAAAAAGATTAAGAAACGAATAATGACATTTAATCTTTGTACTTTTTAATATATTATTTTAGAACAAATGGAATCAACTGACTCAATAAGTCGATCATCATTATTATCATCAATTGGTGAAAATTTAGAAATATTTTCTGTAATTTGGCTTGATTTATCAACAAATAATATCCATGAAAGGATTGATATTCAACATCAACTTCGTTCAACAATAAATTATTTAAAACTTTTTGAAGATATCGATGATTGTGAACAATATATTCGATCATTATCAAAAGATGATCGAATTGTTATACTTACAAATGAAAATTTAGCTTTAGATATTACATCACGTATACATCAACTTCGACGTATTTCATCAATCTATATTTATTCAATAGATAATGAAAAAGATTATGAATGGACAAATCAATATAAAAAGGTTTGATACATTAACTATGAAAACTAACAAAGAAGAGTAACTCATTTTCAACAGTAAACCTCTCCCTCCCGTAATAAAAGGGCCAGGACCTACTATTATGGTTCCACAACTTGCACTGTTCTTTGTGAAAATATCGCCGTACCCCCCTAGGGCGTTTTTTGCCTACTATTTAGGAGGGACTTCTTTTGTGAGGGAGGTTTAGTATTACATTATAAGGAATTACTAAAAGCGTGTTCATATAGATAAGATGAATTTTTGTTTAGATTAAATATACGCACAATGATCTGGATGAAGTTGTTGCTCGAATAAAAATTGATCATATAAAACGAAAAAAATTAGAAGAACCATTAATTATCAATGTATTTGATACTAATCAATCCACTGATCGTTTATCATCGAATACAAATACTCAATTTCTTCATTCACAATTATTAATTCATTTCTTACTTAATACAAAATTAACAAACGAACAAATTATTGAAAATAAAAAAGAATTAATTGATCTTTGTAAAACTGAATATCAAGATAATACAAGTCAATTAAAAATTTTACATGAATTTGAATATAATTATTTACCATCAAATGCATTATGGTGGTATAAACTCGATTCATTTCTTTATCAATTTTTATATAAATCATTAAATACAATAAATATTGATTTACTTTATTTATTACAATTTTTTATACATGATCTTATACGACAAGTAAAACAATATCAATCATCAACATTAACACGTGTCTATCGAAGTTATTTAATATCAAATGATGAATTACAATTATTTGAAGAATCTATTGGAAAATATATTTCAATAAATACATTTTTTTCAGCATTTATTAAATCTGATGATGCATTAAATTATTTTAATGATTATGAACAAGATAATAATGATACTCTTAAAAAATTATTATTTAAAATTGATGCTGATCCACGTTTAATGAAAATTAAACCATTTGGAAATATAACTGTTCATAGTCAAACAACTAATGAAGAAGAAGTTTTATTTTCATTAGGAAGTATTTTTCGTATAACCAGTGTAAGTCGAGGTAAAAATGATATTTATACAATACATTTAACATTATGTAGTGATGATAATTCACATTTGAAAACTATATTTGATCATATTAAACATCAATATGGTGAAAATGATATAAATCTTCTTTCATTTGGTAATGCATTAAGACGAATGGGTAAATTAGATGAAGCTGAAAAATGTTATCAACGTTTACTTCATGATTCAACATATGATCAAGATATAATAAGTCGTACATATCATCATTTAGGTCGATTAGCTGAAACAAAAGGTGACAATGATGTAAGTCTTGAATATTTACATAAAGCATTAGATATAAAATTAAAAATAATGAAATCAAATGATCCAAGTATTGCACAAAGTTATAATTGTATTGGAATTGTACATCAACAAAAAGGTGAACAAACAAAAGCACTTGAAGCATTTCATAAAGCATTAACTATATGGAAACGTGCATATGGAAAAAATCATCCAAATGTTGCTGGATGTTACAATAATATGGGTGTTGTTTTTAAACGAGAAAAAAGATATCCGGAAGCACTTGAATCATTTCAAAGAGCTTTAGCTATACGTGCAAGACATCCTTCTGCTAATCATCATGATTTAGCTGGATCACATAATAATATTGGTGCTGTTTATGAACGTTTAGGTCATCATGATCTTGCTGTTGATCATTATAATTTAGCACTTAATATTAAAACAAAATCTCTTCCACCACAACATCCATCAATAGCATCAACACTTGAAAATATGGGTTATGTTTATGAGAATAGAAAAGCATATATACAAGCATTATCATACCTTGAAAGAGCAGCTGCAATCTATCGTCATTCATTACCTCCAACACATCATGATGTTACGAAAATTGAAGAAAGTATTCGACGTGTATCATCAAAACTGCAATAATACGATTTTTTTTGTTTTCTATATATTTTTTATTAATTTAATAATACTGCGTCAAAAATGTGTAATACTATTTTCAATATACTCAATGTAACATAACTAAATCATCTCCTAAGGTTATTCCTTATCCTGCAGGTAACACAAACGACTAATTTCAATCGTACGATACTTAATAAGTCTTATTATATGAAATAAAGAGATTTTCCTCAAGCTTCTATTCTACGCATGAGTTCCGATAAAAGATCAATATTTTTTTAAAGAAACCTTCACTCTAAATTTATTTCCTGTTATCTTCTTTCTTCAAGTATTCGATTCACTACTGAATACAAAATAAGTGTGCAATCAACACAGCGGATATTAACTCTGCCTTGTTGTTTGTCACTATACTGAATGACCTGTTTTCATTTACAGTAAAATCACATCTCTCTTCTTTCGTTTTATGATTTTTCATCAACTAAATATTTATGATTATCAAAACAAATGATTTTTATGCACATATTTAAAAAGAATCAAGCACATGAGAACAGAAAAATATTAGGTAAGAATAAAAAGGATAGAAAATCTAGCACAAATGACAAATAAAACATATTTGATAAAGAAGGCATTAGAAAAAGAGACACTCACTATTGACATCTACTTATACGAATATAAATGACAATTACATATTATGTGCACATTATTTAATGATAAGAAGAAGAAGAAAAAAAGCTCTTTCTTATGTGTTCATTTAAAAGAGAAAACAAGATTTATCATTTACACATTACAAAAAAAAAAGTATAGAAAAAGATATAAACATATTTAATTCGTGTTCATAACTACTTGTTCTGCTTGCTTATTGGGATCAAGATCAGTTGCGAGACGAATAGCCGCGAGAAGAGCCTAGATAAAAATTTATATGAATAAATATTTAGTCAAATAATAGAGCAAATTTAACATACTTCATCAGGATCCATCGTAGGTGATGGTTCGCGTGGCGCCGGCGGACGAACTGGTGGTTCGGGCTAGAAGAACATGACATAAAAACATCGACAAAATATATATATAATGACTTACTGGAACATTGACATAAGTAACCGGAGGTGGTGGTGGTCGTTTTGGTTTAACTTCCTAAATATTAAAGAATATAATATATGATAACAAGATAAAATTCTTACCGGTGGTTTTTGAATTACTTCACGTTCTGGTTTTTTATTCACACGTGCATATTCCGGATCTTTAATAACTGGTCGTCTCGGATAATCATCTTCATTTTTCTAAATACAAAATAGACTCGAATCAAATAAGAAATTCTAAATCCCCTGAAACAGCAAATTCATGCATTTCCATTATCCAAAAAAAAGTCTGTTTTTTATTTCCATCATGCCTATTACCTTAAGAATCTCTATCTATTTCTATAGAAAATTAAGATAATATAAAAGATAAACAACGAAAAACGAAAAAACATACATCCGGTATTGGTACTCTATTATGTGTTTCAAAAAATGGTTCAACACTTTGAGGACGTGGTAGAGGTCGTTGAACAGCTGGTCGACTTGGACGCGTGACTTCAGGAGCAGCTAAATGTGCATAACGAAAAAAGGAAGAATAAGTATAAGATTAATATTTGCTATTATTTTCAAACAAAAAGAAACAATCAGTGTATTTAATAAGCAAGGAGTCAAAATATTGCAAAAGAAACAACTATCACCTGTATTAGAATTGTTTACTAAATAAAATTTGTTCGTTTTTTTTTATAAAAAACAAAATAATTTCATTAAAATAATTTACTTACAAACATCAAGACTTTTTGTCATTCGTTTACTTATTGATCTTTCGAAATCTGGATTAGGTCTATCAAGTAATA